TGAAAAAGCCTTTCCAAAATTAAAATTTCACATCCCTTGTGACTGTGAAGTGGTACACCTTCCTATTCTCCTGGGACTCTACAAACAACCAGCTCTTCAGACCTACAGATATAATTTGAATATTATTTCTTAACTCTTCCCAATACTGAACACTCTTCATGTAAAAACAAGACAAAGAAAATTTCTTTTATGTGTTTGCATAAAGAAACAAGGAGAAAGTATTCTCCAAAGAAAGAAAGAAGGAAAGAAAGAAAGAAAGAAGCTACAGCTGAAGTAAAGAAATTAAGTGAATCAAGTGCTTACACATCTGCTGGAATTAAGAGTATCTCAGTCACTGAACTACAGAGTCTCCAGTTTCTGACATGTCTCCATGAATGTGTCTCTGCCTCATGTTTTAAAATTCTCTGAGGACAGTTTAAATGATTTGAAAACATAAAACTGTGAACCAAATAAAAAAAATCCTGGATACACACAGAAGATCTGGGTTTAATCTCATGAAAGACTGATTTTTAAGCACATTCAGTAATTTATTGACTATGGAAATGCTAATAAATTTATCAGCTGACATTACCCAAGGACCTCTTCACTGCTAAGGGGATATCCTACCAAATGTTCCACTTAAGAAAGCAACAACTCCTGCTTTCCTCTGAAGACAAAACAGTAGAAAACACCCATTTTCAAGACTTCTGGGGCACATACACCATGTGTACATGTGTATCCGTGCATGCTGAAGCTGGTGCCCCAAATAACACAGCAGAAGTACTGCACAGAGCAAGTATACCCTAACAGAGCTGCATTCAACAAGGATAGGGGGAATAAATCAGAGTTACTGACTGCTTGGAGCAGCTTCTGGTTCACTTTCCAAGCCCATGGAGGTTTCCCTCAGCTCAGGTGACTGCCTCCTCCTGCCTGCTGCTGTTCAGGTAAAGGGAAAAGGCTAGTCAAAGGAGAGGATGGACAAACAGGCTACAAGGAAAAGGCAGGTTGTGTCAAAGAAAAGAAGGGCAGCCTCTGCCAGCAGCTCACTGTATGAACTCCACAAGGCTCATTCCACTGATCTTCCAGGTCAAATGTGGAAGAGAGCAGGGCTGAATGAAGACATGTGTTACAATTCTTTTTTTTTTTTAAAAAAAAAAAGACCAAGAAAACAGTGGATCCTGGAAGATGGGACAGGAACAGGATGGAGGGAACTAGGAACAGGTTTATGAACACAGTGGTTTTCCAGACTGAAATCACCATACAGCAGCTTCGCGTTAAGAGGATGCTCAGCCACCTGGTCATTCTACCAATCATACCCTATCGCATACCCAGCTCTTAAGTCTTCTTTCCCTTGCCAAGTGAGCAGCCATAGCCCCTCTGGAAAGAGTTAATGGAGGCCAGGAAAGCAGCTGGTAACCAAAACTCCCAGAAGAATTGGTTTGCCTTCTATATGACCTAGCTGGATTGCGAGAAGCCCAAGCACGTTCTTTACTTTGAAGCCTAGATCAAAATAAAATTGGAAATAATAATAAAAAAAAACTGCTGAACTTGCATCAATCTCAATAAAACTAAGTGCAACGTGCTTTCCTATAATTGCTGTTCACAGGTTTTATATCAGGCTATCCTTCATACTAAAGTCTTACTCATCTAAACTGCTGTGAGCAAGGCTTATCTTGCCTTGCTGCCTAGGCTGCTCACTACGTGTGTAGGCTGCTTACTACGCGCATGGCTCCCAGCAGGCTGTAGGATATTCAAGATCTGCTCATGTGCCTTCTTCTAACCCAACTGGCTTTGAGATGTTTGGCTTTGCCCAAAGTTAAAAGGGAGGGTGAAAGGTGCACCAAGGAGAAGGGAATAAGCTAGATGCTCGCAAATCACCATCTGAAGAAGTGGTTCACAGGAGAGGCCACAAGTCTTTTAGCATTTAGGGAAAATGCTACATAAGATAGAAGGTATGCATTGTTGTGACATGTCTGTGAAACATGCTTAGTCTGTACATCAGTTAAGGGTTTCTACAAACTCAAAGATGAAGGATTTGAAGACTATCAAAATCCATGAGCATTTTTGCTCATCACTGCCACAATCCTGTTGTCTTCAAGGGAACACAGAAACTTAAGATGTCCCCAATGTTGAAATCTGACCCTTAGCAATTGACAGCGCTCATGTTACAGCAATCAGACAAGCTCTTCTCATCAACATATTGCTGGGTTGGTGAGAATAAAGAGCAAAGACTCAACAAATTAAGCAAATCTGAAACCAGAAGGAAAATGAAGTAATAATAAGTAAAATGCTGCGAGGTCTGCAAGTTTTCTTTTTGAATTACAGCCATGCTTCACTGTTTTTTTTAATTATTATTTTTCAAGGGCTAAACACTTTTAAAATAGCACTCTAGAAGTATAAACAATAAAAAAACTATAAACAATATATAAATATTGTTATCTAAATATATTTATAAACATATAAATGTAAACAATAAATAATCCTGTAGTTCTAGTTTCAGATTGTATGAATGTGATTCTGTAACAAGTTTGCAGTTGCTTTATTTGCTTTTCTAAAAAGCCCAACACTTGAATTGATGTTCCTTTCTATGATTTTCCCAGCAGAAAATAAATTGTTTACTGGCCCTGAAACCGAGTTCTTACACTTCAGAGTTAAGTTGCTTCTCTTTTGTAGACAGAAAACTAATGTCAAATATGCACTTAAAAAATCACAAAAATCATAAACCCACACAGTGGGTTTATAATTTCACAGTTTTAACAGTGAAGCCAGAAGAGTTTGGCAGAATAATAAGAAATCGAAGAGTACAGGTCTTGGTCCACTTTATATATATAATGTAGTCTAATTTTGATACTAGTCTGTGTTCATGAAAGCCCCATGCTGTCTTCTTTATAAGTCAACACTTAATTCTGCAGGCAAAATGGAGAAGATGATCAGACAAAGCTAATGCTACAAATCAAACAAAGCATCTATAAAATTAGGCAAAAGGACACACACAGCCTATTAGCCTTTGGGGAAGAAAAAAAAAAGTTTTTTTTTTTTTTTTTTTTTTTTAAAAGATGCTTAAACTTCTGCAGGAAGCAGAGGCAGGTACTGCTTGGTGTAATGAGAGCAGCTCATGCTCCACCACTGTACTTGTTGCAGTACTCTGATGCAGCGCATGGTGTTGGGAGAAAATCTGGCCCTGTTACTTCGAATCCAGAGACATCGAAGTTAAATGAGAGCTGGCTATAGCATAGCAAGGAATTAACCCCTTGCAGGAGCTATTTTACAACTCCTTCCTGAGGGGTCTCTTATTTGGAAAGAAAACTGTCTTCCAAATTTGGTCTCCATTGCTAGACTGAAAGGGTGCAAGGGTACAAAGGGTGCAAGTGGATGGAGACCTTCACATAGTCACTGAGTCTAACGAGGGGCTTCTACATGTTGCTTCAGTAAGTGTATTTAACATTCTTCCATAAATCCCAGCTCAAAGATTTCAGGCCATCCATCATCCCTTCAGAGGTAACAACCAAATTTAACATCAGGTCCTGATGGGATATTGTGGAACCCACGACTCAAGTGTTCTCACACAGGGGCTTACACAAAGCTCTCAGAAATACCTATCATCGTAAAACATACTTAACCACTTCACTCAACCTCAGCAAGCACACGGAGTTGATCCATCTAATATGGCATTAGCATCACTGCTGAAGAGTCAGTCTTTCATAACGAACACAAATCTTGCCTAAACACGAAAGCCGTCCCTCCCCCATAACATTCTTCAGGATGTTTTCCTCTGTCAAAGAAACAAAACTTCAGTCTTGGCCACTTACACTCATTAAAGACACAAATTTTGTCCATTCTCCCTTACTCCAGACCTGGTCAAATTCCAGCCTTAATTATTTCATTCCACCTTTCTAGTCTTCCCCTGTGGAGACAACTGAGTAAGTCGCTATGCTTTCTTCACACAATTCTTACTTCTGCCTCTTTTTTAATTGAACTGAAAACAGTTTTTTCTCAAATGAAATAAGAGTCAAGATAGAGACTTGGTGATTTGGAAGCCTCTCCTTTTAATAAAGTAAGGGGAAAAAGGAACGACACGGGCAAAGAAACTGTTGCTTCTTTTAACTTTTTGAAATGAGCAGTATAGGGGTTATCCAATTCAGCAAGATTGTAAAATCCGAAGGATAGCAACTACGATGAACAGACACATTTACAGCAGCAGTGGTGAATGAAAACTATCCACCAGGCAAACTCTAGCAAGTCAAATTGGCTAAGGATCAAGGAAAGAGGTGGATCCATGCAGCTGCAAAATAAGCAGCTGAATTTCTTTTAACAGTCTTTGGAAACCATGGGCAGAATTTACCTGCATTTTTTGCAATGTGTTCTTAACAACCACGTCCATCAAGAAATGGATATTACATTCTAGTGTTACTAATGCTGTTACCAATGTATTTTAGACACTGATTAGAGCTTTGAATGGAAGAGCCAAAATGCAAAGGCACAGAAGAACTGGAAAGGATGCTGGGGCTTAAAGACATAGGATATTAATTGGCAGTTCTCAAGAAAGTCAGTTGGATCACATCACTTCTTTCACTGCATTTGCATCAAAATTACTGCCTGAAGCTCCAACCATCACCAGACTCTGCACAAAACCTAAAAATATCTATGGTTACTAATCTCTAAGATCTTTCTACATACATAGTTTAATAGATACAGGTTTACAGATGGACTCTATGATCTTGAAGGTATTTTCCAACCATAATGACTCTATGATTCTATGTTTGATTTACATGATTTCAGGTGGATCTTCTCTATGTGGTAATGAGCAGGCAATCAAAATACTGCCTCCTAGCTTTCCTTTTCTTTCCAATGTATTTATTTTTATAATTTACAAACATCTGCTTTCCCCAATGAGCATTTGGTAAAATTTACAGGAAGAATGAAAAGCATTTATATTAGAAACACAAACAGAGCACTGAGATCAGATCAAACAATCCTCACAGAAAACATTAAGATGAATTCCAGCTAAATGTGAGGGTGAATTTTTCAAATTCTCATAGTCTTCTTTTTAGAAGGGGATGAATTAAGCAATTGTCTGTGGTCACCCACTTATTAATAGTTAAGGAATTCAAAAATTTTAATTAAATGTTCAGCCTCCTGACCCTGCATATCTTTAGCATGGCCTTACCAATGTGGTTAATGAGCTGGACTTGATAAGCCAGATACTTCCAGCCGCTCAGGCACATCAGGTTTGGAGAAGATGAGGAATAGCAGCTGGTCAACAATGTCATTCATCTCTGGTCTGAGTTACACAGATTTCACATGACTCGGGCAATGCAAATGAGGCTGGCTAACCTCACTCCTGTGAAAACTTATTTTGACTTTTGAACATTGTACACAACAACTCGGTGCAGTTACAGGGAATTCTAAAATTTTCCAACCAATTCTTTCCAAGTGTGGGGAAAAACACTTCTGTTTATGCAATCTTTCTTTTGCCAAACATGAATTTGGGAGCTCAGCTGAGCTGACATGAGTATTTCTTTAAAGGGCCAACACATTTCAGTACAACGCTTTTCTGACTTTCACAGCTTACTACAAATTCTGCAAAAAGTTATACCATGGATCAAAACACCATGACAACTCTTGCTTTAGAATCATAGAATCATAATAGTTGGAAAAGACCTTTGAGATCATTGAGTTCAACTGTAAACCCATTCTCACCATACCTGCTAAACCATGTCCCTAGGTGCCTCATTTATCCGTTTCGTGAACACCGCCAGGGATGGGGACTCCACCACTTCCCTGGGCAGCATTTCCTCTTGTTCTACCCGTGGTTATTCTGGAGAAGAGACTGACCCCTGCCTCACTGCAACCTCCTTTCAGGTAGTTGTAGAGAGCACTAAGGTCTCCCCTGAGCCTCCTCTTCTCCACACTAAATAACCCCATCTCCCTCAGTCGCTCCTCATAAGGTCTGTGCTCCAGCCCCTTCCCCAGCTTCGTTGCCCTTCCTTGGACACGCTCCAGCACCTCCATGTCCTTCTTGCAGTGAGGGGCCCAAAACTGAACACAGGATTCGAGGTGCGGACTCACTAGCGCTGAGCACAGGGGGATGATCACTTCCCTGGTCCTGCTGGCTGCACTGCTCCTGATACCAACCAGGAGGCCGTTGGCCTTCTTGGTCCCCTGGGCACCCTGCTGGCTCATGTTCAGTCAGCTGTCAACCAGCACCCCCAGGTCCTTTTCTGCCGTGCAGCTCTCCAGCCCCTCTGCCCCAAGCCTGTAGCGCTGCATGGGATTGTGCTGACCCAAGTGCAGGACTCGGCACTTGGTCTTGTTGAACCTCATACAGTTGGCTTCAGCCCATCGATCCAGCCTGTCCAGATCCCCCTGCAGAGCCTTCCTACCCTCAAGCAGATCTACTCTTCTTCCCAGCTTCGTGTCATCTGCAAATTTGCTGAGGGTGCACTCAATCCTCTCATCCAGATGATCAATAAAGATTAAAGAGGCCTGGGCCCAACACCAACCTTTAGGAAACACCGCTCATGACCGGGCACCACTTGGATTTAACTCCATTCACCACCACTCTCTGGGTCCATCCATCCAGACAGATTTTGGTTCACACATGCTGTGTGATCACTCTCAAAATGATCTGCTCCATAATTTTCCCCGATACCAAGGTGAGGCTGACAGGCCTGCAGTTCCCCCACATCTGGGATCTCCCTGGTTAACCAGGGCCACTGATAGATGATGGACAGCAGCTTATTTGGTTTAGTTTGCAAACAAACAACTACTGAATGCTTAGGCATTTGTCTGCGAGATAGCAGCACTGTAGCGTAACCTATGCCTTTATTAGACTTTTTAAAAGGCTAATGGAATGAAAGCAACAACAGAAACTGTATGGCTTCTGGAGATATACAGTGCAGAATATAACTTGGTTCTGATTTCCATCTACAGGTTTTATACCTTCAGATAGCACCCCGAACTAGAAGAATAAGTAGCAATGAACCCACCCACCTCAGCTGTAACTCAACAATTTCAGGGCAGATCTTGCTCTCACTCAATTTAAGTATCTGTTAACTTAAATGATGCTGGATCCTACTAACAGTCAGAAAACTAGGACCTCAAGCGTAAAAACAGTGGTAAACATATTTATGGGAAAATTGTCTCTTCCATTAATATTCTCCCTCTTCTTTAAATATCTCACTGGGCAGAGCTCAGTTGGTGATAGTAGTACAAAGTGATGACTTCCACTTAGTAAGCTTGAAGAGGCAGCTGAGAACAGTACTTCCATTTTTAATTGTTTTTCATTCATAGACCCCACAACACCTTCCAGGGGAGGAGCACGTTCCTTTTGAGCAAATTTAAACATTTTTTTGGGTCCCTGCCCTTTTTTTTGAAGGTTTTTTTTTTTTTTTTTTTTTTTTGGAAACCCCCTGTCTTGGGAAAGGACAAGAGATTGCTATCACCCTCAGTGCAACCTCAGGGTCTCACAGTGCTCTAACAGAAAGGGATCATTGAGTTTTCTTTCCTTTTCACCTCTTTCTCCAAAGCTGATCCATATTTCCATTTAGTGACCACAAAACGCAACCAGCTTCTCCACTTAGGGATGCTGCCTTAAAAAGCAGAAAAGCAAAACGCAAACAAACAAAAAGGTCTGAAGGCGACAGAACCTTCCTTTACTTGTTCTGGCAATATAAAAAATCCCACTTTAAACAAAATGTTATGAAAATGCTGCTTCCTCCAAGACTGTATTACCACCTGATTCGTACTGGAGCTAGCTGAAAGCGTCAGGGAAACAACCAGAAGCCCCAGCAGGACACGGGGAGAGGGCCAAGTAGTGGCATTAGTGTGTCCTGGTCCACCTTACCCTTGACTCATTTTTAGAAACTTCAACATATTTCCAGTTGTGCAAAGGCCGTGGAAAGCCTAGGAGTCTTCCCCGAAGTTATTTTTGTCATAGTGAAAAGTTAAGGCTGAAGTATGGAGATACTTGTAATTCAGTCAGCACAATGAAAATCTCTTTATAGAAGAGAAAGAAGAGACACTTGGTTTGGCTGTGGTTGTTGCTGCTGTTGTTTTAATGGTACATTTTTTAACAGCGACAGGGCTCAGTAACAAGCAATTAGCTGTAACTTGTATGGTTAAGCTATGTTAGCTACTCCATCATCTTTAAACCAATATTTGGCACCTCCTTAGAAGATAAGATGTAGCTCAGCCAAGTTTATCGAGTTGTATAAAACAACAACAACAAAAAACCCACATTAGATTAGGTTCTGTGGATTATGTTTATATAAGACAGCAATTGTTACATAACACCTCTAACCGTATGTCTTTGCCTGAAGAAGAGAAGGCTGAGAGGGCACCTGATCAGTGTATATGAATACCTTAAGGGAGGGAGTGAGGAAGATGGCGGCAGCCTCTTTTCAGTGGTGGCCCGCGACAGTATAAGAGGAAAATGGCCACAAACTGAAGAACCAAAAGTTCCACCGGAACTTAAGGAAAATTTCTTGACAGTGAGGGTGGCAGAGCACTGGAATAGGTTGCCAAGAGAGGTTATGGAATCTCCTCTCTGGAGATCTTCAAAATCTGCTTGGATGCAGTCCTGTGCCACGTGAGCTAGGTGACCGCGCGTGTGCCGGGGGGGCTGAACTAGATGATCTCTAAAGGTCCCTTCCAACTTTAATGATTCTATGAACCTATTATCATATAAAATATCCTAAATATGAAGGTTCTGGGAGCCACTGATTCCAAAGAATGTAAACATGGATACAAAAAAAACAGATTGAAGCATGAGAAACTTATAACCAAACGCAGAGGCACTGAGAGGGGCGACTTAAGTGAGATATGGAAAGTAGACTGCAAGTGCTGCCATGCTAACACACAGCACTGGAAATAAAAACTCTTGCCTTGTAAGAGCGCAAACACATCTAGAGAACATATCTGTCTTACCAGTGCCATGGCAACTGAAGAGAAAACACACACACTAACCTGAAATAGTAGCAGCATCGTTCAGTTAAGAACATTGCTTATAAAGGGAATAAAGCAAGAGCCGGCTGACCATGTAACCATAAAAGCTGGGAATGTTTTCTGTTTCCAGAGAGAGTTTTAATGCCTTTGCTATTTTTGCAAAAAGTGGTGGGTTTGTCACTAGTTTTACAGTCTCTGGGTGCATGAAGTCAACAACTGAACCTATGCACAGTTCAGGGGCTTCTCCTTGGCCAGTCTGTCATATCTGTATCTCCCCAGGAGCCCCCTGATACACAAAAAATGTGCCCCCATAGGCTCTCACCACTCAGGCTGACCCAACCTCATATATAACAGCCTGCTATAGAGCTGCATGGTCAGCAGCTACTGCCAGCCAGTTTCATCTATATGTCATATATATCACATTTACTCGGTGACACAGACTCAGCACATGGTGTCTCTTCCCTGGTTGAGGTTCTACCTGGGAGCATGCTGTGAAGTTGAAGTCATTGCAGATTTGGAGATATCCAAGTAGAAAAGGACACAAATCTGTAGGAGACTAGTCTTTGTTGTCTCCTCAGTGGAAAAGCAGTGAGGGTTTCTTTGGTTATCCATAGCATATTTGCTATTAGTAAATAACATGTAAATTTGCAAGATCTCCATGTCTTAGCAAAAACCCAAAGCAAAAAACAATCGTCTAGAATTAAATATTATCTCCTACAATAAATCTAACTGCAACAGAAGCAATCTTACTAGCATACTACATCAGATATTTAAATATGGTAAAAAATAAAAGGTAACAAGATTGTTCCACTTCTCAAAATAACTCGTACAACTGTAAATTTTGTAAAAGCTGCTATTCTCTTCCTGGAGCAGTAACTTTTAAAATGCTATCTTTTAGATGTCAGGAATATCATACACATCACTATAACCTGATCTGCAGTTTTCTACTCTTAAAGTCCTAACAGCTGCTGCTGTTTGAAGCAGCCAGAGCATTACTTTTTTTCCTTTTTTTTTTTTAAAGGGGCACTTGCTAGTAGGAGCAAAGCTTTTAAAGTTTGGGGGGGAAATAGCCCCAGGAACTTCCCCTTTTGAGAGCTTGAAGTTTTATGAGTGAACCTAAAGGACTGCCAGACTTCCAAAGTGACAGCACACTAGGAAAAAATTTCCTATGTGTTTTGCAAATTTGAAGTCAGCCACATTTCACAACTGACATCAGAGTTTTTAATATCAGCTCTAATGAAATATAATTCTCCAATGACATAGCTGTGAAGTACAGCATTTTCATTTCGCTAGTTGGCAAAGAGGTTCTGGCCTTATTATTAACTACTTAGAGCCAAAAGTCTTCCAGGTCCCGTGCAGACATCTCTGAAGACAAGGCCTCTTCCTCATGGCTGCTGCAAGCCGAGACACCACAGGGTCCAGCCAAAGAGATCAGATTCATTTTTCACATGACCGCTATGGTCAAGTTGCATGATATGACGCAAGGATATAGCGTATTTTGCCTCCCTCTTCTCTATGACTTGAATTTCACTAATCTCTCTGGGTGGGATAGAACAAAATTTAGCTTTTGGTTTGGGGGAGTTTCACTGGGTTCTAAATAGCGAGAGCAAGCAGGGTGACTCCAGCCATCAGGAGAGGCCGGAGGGGAGGAAGGGACAAACTGGGCATTAAAAACAGTAATGGTGTTTTTAAAATTGTTTCTTGCTTGGGTCACACTTCTGCCAGCTGAGGGAATGAGAGGTTTACTTGAAAGCTCAGAATAATCTTTCAGGCAACAGAGTGCTGTTCCTAACCAGGCGCAGCTTCTCCAAACGGTGACAATGAGCAGTAAAGAGCAAGGAATAGCATATCGGCTATGGGGCTGATGAACACACACTCACTTGAGTAAGAGAAGGCATGAGATCCAACATTTGGCATACACACTTCCAAAAAGCGTACAAAAAACCTCCGAACAGCACAAGATGCCTGGTGAGAGGTAACATCCCACTTCCTTTGGCCACCTGTGCGACTGTTGCATTAACCTGACTTGATTCAGGAACATAAAAGGCAGCGACAGCAGTAGCAATTTTCCTCTGGGCCAGGCTCTGATCTCATGCCATACCTCAAGAACCATACCTACTTTTCCTAGCTTTCTGTAGTTCTCAAGGGTTTTTTAATATGGGTCTGCTGTACATGAAAAGCAGCCCAAATAGATTTTGAATTCTTGCTGAATGACGACTGCATAGCAGCTACAGCAAATGTTGAAAAGAAACTGTGTTAACTGCTTCAATTGTGTTGGTCAGGGAAGAGTTTCCGTAGCTGCACGCTGCTCCAAAACATGTTATCTCTTTCGGTGCTGTGGTTCTTTTCCAAAAGAGAGATGTGGAAGATGAAGTAAGTGTGAGCCTGCAGTTTCTCTAGCTTGCTGACAAATGCTAGACTCAGTCTCCAAATAAGATACAGAGTAAATGGGCATTGGCAGTCTTCTCCTCCTCCATGTAACTTACCCAGGCATAAATGAGCCTGTGCCTTAGGGAGAGAGAGCACAGCAGAGGAAAATTCACCCTTCGTGGCTGCTCTAGAGAGCTTGGATCAGGATGCAGTAATACGGTTGCTGGAGGCTTTGCTTCAGTAAGGAGAGACACAAACTTTTGTAAGGATGCTGGGGTTTAGCTCATCACGGATGCTGCTATTTCCAACGGAGAGCAGAGCATCACTGAATGCCTCTTGCAGACACTTCTGGTTTGCTTTTCTACAATTTCATAAAACGATACTTTTTACTGAGATTTTATATAATGGTTCCTTAATTTAAGAAATCTCAATTTGTGGTAGTGAGAAACTGTCTGCATTGACCATACCCAGTGAGCTATTGTTTCACCCATAATTTTTCCGTAATCTTTTACCACTATTTGTTTTAAGGCACTGGGATTTTATGACAGTGTTCTTGCCTCTGTTAGAGGACAATGTAAGCCTGAAACCAGCAAAATACTTGTCTCCAGAGATCATATCCCTTCCATGGGGTGTTGGCAGTCAAGGATTTAAGAATGGGAAAAAACACATGGATAGTAAAGAGGATCAGAGACATGGCTTATTAAGCAAAGTTGTTTTTATTTCTTTAAACACTTGCTAAAACTATCACAAGCTCCTGCCTGTGAACACAGAAAGCCACTATTTCTCACATACTTGCAGAGTCTTAATATGCAAAGCTAGACTGAAATGGTCTTTAAACTTTTACATCTTCCACCCACACGAATGGAGCAGTCCCCTCCTACCCGTCCACAGCTTCCAGCCTCAAATATCCTGGCATAAAATGATCAGACAAAATAGGTGACTTATGTTTTTATTGGTTCCTCCAGACTATGACGACATTTCCTAAAACACTGTGCCAGGAAACTATTAATGTCTCTGAAAAAGTGGAAAGGGTCAGGCTATTTCAAAGGGTATGTGTTTGCTAAGAAGCCTTTGTTGTTGATGTATAGGCCACTTAAGATGCAATTAATAACAATAATAGTTATCATTCACATAATATTTCTAGCTTTAAAGTATATTATGAATATATTTCTAACACCTCTGTGTGGCCTGGTAATGCCTGTGTGTGCCCCCTTTTACCTTTTGGAGAATTAAAGTTGGCAGGTTAAACAGCTTGCTCAAAGTTTTATAAAGTACATCCATTTCAAGGTCAGAACTCCCTTCAGATTTGTACAAACTCCTGATCTTAGACTGTTTTTGGAGGGAGAAATGGAAATGGCTGCAACTTATCAGCATTAAAAAAATGAAGACCACGAAGATTTTCTACGTTTATATCAGTTGTGTTGGCCCGCATTTGACAGTGCAAGTCAGTTCAGGCATTTCCAAGGTGGGGATAAGAGGTTTATGAAGAAAGCTCTGTGTGCTTTATACACAAGTACTAAACCAAACCATTGCCCCTCTAGCAAGAACACAGCACAAGAAGTGCAGGAGAGAAAGAAGGCTCCAAAACCCAGCATACTTCACATTTTTCAAGCACATGCTATACACTTGTTTGGGCTCCGCTGTCAGTTTGGGAAGCATCAGAAGTTTGCTGGGCAAATTGCACTTGCAAACCCAATTCTGATACTGACGAGTATACACGAAGGACAGCTCCATAACACGGCAGTGCAAAGCAGATTTAAAACCAGCCTCCCTACAGTGTACAAAGTAGGGTACACAGAAAAGCATGTCATGGCCTCCTAAAACAAGCAGAGGTCAAGACTTGCTCCCCAGGAACTACATTCTGCTCTTACAGCCTCAAGAACCTGATTAGTTTGTCCTGTCTCAAACGATGATGATCTTGCCAACCCACACAAGCTGCAGGTAAAATCCCACTATTGCACAGTGCCATCTCCTGGGCAAGCACGAACGAAAAAAACCCTCACAACTCCCTGTCTTCCCACAGCATCTTATGTTTTAATATCTCCTTTCAGCGATGCTGGCAGGCCCAGCATTACCTCTGTTCTCTGAATATTAGCACTGAATTCATGGAAAGAAGAGCAGATTGTTTACAGCTCCCGTTACAAAGCATGAGACTCGGCAGCCTGCTCCTGAGCAAAGCAGTATGTGCATAAGGCCAGTACCATGCAGACCTGCAGAAATAAGTTCACTCTGTGCTGCTAGCTAATCACAAATTAGCAATTAGGGCTTCCTTTCAACGTCCAAACAGGAAAGGGGAGTGGAGGAAGTGAAAGCTTAATGATTTCTTGTATGTTAACAAGTTACACGGGCCACCCTGTTAAAAAATTTTTGTTATGCGAACAAAAGCTTAGCACATTGTCTGCCACAGCGGCAAGCATTTATCATTAAGCTCAAGCCATGCATCTTGGCAGGAGAGGGAAGGGAGACAGAGGAAGATGCAAACATTTCACTCAGCACTGTTTAACATACGGTATTAGATACTAGGAGGTTTAGAGTGGAGGATCCTACCTCACTGCAATCACAAGTGTTGAGATTATGGCCCCCAAACCAAACCAGAGTTGGTACATCTGACAGTCTCTCTACAAATATTCAGTAGAAAGACAGTATTTTAGTGATCACAAATTGCTAAAGCTGTAACAGCCATAAAGAGTAACAAAGAGTAAAGAAAAATAGACAATGTGTTTCATTTATTTCTTTCCAATGCCTTTCAGCACTACCAGCAGTTCCGTATATTCCATACCTCTACCTAGCCATGGTAGAGCTGGGGAAGAAATCTCTGTGGGACACAAGGAGACCCCTACGAGGCCCGTAGCAGCAAGGGACATTTCTCTCTCTGTCTTCAGAAATAGTTCGGATTATAGTTGCTGGCAGGAGTGGGAAGCCTGGCTCCATTGCCAGCCTCTACCTTCATGCTATCTTCACTACATGAGGAACAAAAAATATGTTGCACAACTGTTGAGCAATTCTGGAAAGTTCAAGACAGATTTAAAGCCAGTATCTCACTTGCCTGGAAATATTAAGACAGATTAGGGCCACAATATGACTGTTACAACTAGACACAGGATGATATTTTGGGAGACCAAAATTACCTTGGGCCTATACAGTAGAACTCCTCATTTCTAGGGACCCTTTGTGGGGTATGCCAAGCAAAAACATCTTATGAAGAAATTCTTAGACTTAACAATAGAGAGGGATGATTTAAACGGGCTGCACAGAAAGCAAAAGAAAGACAAGAAAATCTAGGAAAAAAAAAAGTCTGTCAACACAGCTGCTGCACAGTCTCATTATCTCCCATGGATGCAAACAAGAACAGATACATAACATGGATAGTTACCACTGCCCAAAACACACTGGCTGGAGCAAGCAAGGAGCCTAAGCGTTGTGAGTGCATGTTCTCCATGATGGAATTTAAGGGTAAATTTTCCCTTAGATTCAGCAGTGAATTCTGGTTCTGCAAAGCCTAAAGCAGCCACATGCCATAAGCTATCTCAACATGCCTGTTACACTATGCATGAGGATGGAAATATGGGCCTTACTGAAGACTCATATTGCTATTGGTACTGTTTTATATGTGAGCTTCCACTCTCAACCCTCTTGGCTCAGATGGTTTACGTGGAGGCAGATCAGATATTTAATCAGCCTTGATTTCAGACCACCCATTAGCAAAAACACTCCATAACAAGAGCTTTGAAAGCTGAAAAACACCAACTGTACAAGATTGCTTTCTTTCTTTTTTTTTTTCTCCTCCAGACTTAAATATATAGGTAGAGATTCCATCTTCAACCAGAAACATTGATATTCTTTCTAAAGGATGAATATATTGTGACTTTGAACTTCAAGACTTGCTAACTCTACTGTGTCCAAACATCTACCTTCTGTCACCACTGACTCCCTTATTCACTTATCACTTAGGATGCTTGTATTCAAGGCAGCAGTGCTGCTTCCTACTACATGAGAAAGACCATGACAACTTGGCTGGACTGCAACCTGCTCAGTTCCCAAAATGATGATGTATTCCAGAACGTTCAGCTTTCTCGACTGTGATGCCCCAGCAGGTTAGTTGACCTTCATTTAATTTCTCTAGTGTCAAATCAGAGCCTCAACATTTGCAAATCTCAAAAAGAGACTTGCAAATCTCCTCTTCCTCCTCCTCCCCAAAAGCAAGGGAGTGCTTCTAGCCATAAACATTGTCATGAGCAAGGTTACTTTGGTAAGGAGTGCTAGGAGAGTTCCTACTCGTTTAGCAGCTATGACTGTACCTCGGATCAACTGCCAAAAATGGAAGCATAATGTGTTTGACGATTCTTAGTGAGAGACAAATCATGATCCATGTCCTCCTTGCCCTACCTTCACACAATGTCCCAGCTCACACGTTCCATTCACTGAAACATCTAGAGGAATACATACTTGTGACCAGTTTCTCTGGACCAGACACCAGGTAGCTGTTAAATAATGTGGAGAATGATTTCACCATGAGATGCTTTTACTGGATCTTGCCCAAGAACTTTCTATATATTACATATATTGCTGTTTTGCTGCAATTGCTGTCTCAAAGCAAGAACTAGGACAGATATATGCATGACATCATTCAGACGAGGAGATTGTATGTTTGGAGAGGTGTGGTAATACTTGACAAAACAGATTATCTTTTTCCTTCTCTCTTCCAAAACAAAGATTTTCTTGGACGATTATAAACTCAGGGGTTCCTGTAGTTTTGTTCAAGGAGGGTAACATATTGGGAGGAACATCAGGCTAGGGGCTGCATAGCAAAAATCAAACTGCACTACAGTGCAGGACAACCAACACCTGGAAAGTTCCTCCGAGGGTCATAGTTAGAAGCTATGAGCTTCCAGCTCAACCTTAAGGAACCTCCAACTTAGATGCTGATTTTTTGTGAGAAATATAACGGATCTTTGGGAGTGTTTTTTTTTTCCTTCAGGCATATTTCTGAAGGCTTTTTTTTAATCTGCTGGGCTCTGCGTCACGCAAGCAGGAGGTTAACTAGGCAAGAACAGACATGATGACCTTTCCATTTATAACGTACTTGTAAACATGTATAAACTCAAAACAAAACAGGCAAGAGTCTATATTGAGGACATGAGCATTTCTCATGGAAGCAGCTCCTATTATATTGAAGGGAGGAGAAGCAGTTCTTATTGTTTAAGTCTTCGGTACATCTTTTATTTTCAAAGTATGAAGTTTGGGGGATGTAATGATAACTTTTGGTATTCTCTAGAAGAACACTCTCACTATGGTCTTGTTGAGATACTTGCATGACATGTTTCTTTGTGTCACACACTTACATATAGAGGAATGATTTCTGCTTTGCATTGCCTTTTCCTGGTGATGATAGAGAGAGAGTTGCTGAGACGAAGAGCATCAGCCTCCCATTCCCATCTCTTAAAGGTGTAGGCCACAAGTGTGAAGCATCAGGGGATGCTCTTAGAAGTGGGGAACATACACCTAAGCCAGGTCAGACAAAAGCTCTGTCTCAGCGGAGTAAGTTAAGGAAGATGTGAGGCACTACTGGTATTATGGACTCCATTTTGCAACCCCACATACACATGCTGTGTACATTTTCAAAGGCCACTCACTCCCAGTTGCACTTATATTCGCAAAGTGAGAGATTTTAGCCTCTTGCTCCCTAGCTTGCAGGGCTGGACATAAAGTTTGCTCAGTTGGTATGCCTATGCTTGCTGTTACCACCCTACAAAAGGGCTGCAGCTCACTTAGCTTTAGAAAAATTAATGGGGAACACCAAGTTTAATCCTCAAGTGCAACCGATTCTCAGCAGAGAATTCCTATTTTACCTACAGGAACCATCTGAGGAATCAATCTTTTTTTTTTTTTTCAGCCAAGCCTTTTTTTTTTGACTTTTAGTTCGAAAGTTTTGTGAGGAAAAGCCTCCAGTGAAATGAAGCAGCAGACAGATAAAAATCTTTGGAATGTCCTCCAAGAGCTGTGCTACAAAGGGAGACCTGGCGTCAGCCCCACACAATCCAGAGACATGGGGGATTCCCATGGAGAGCCGAGCTCAGGCCCTGAGCAAAAAAATCCTCTTGTGTTAGAGACTAACTGTGCTCAGTTAGTCTGGCTGCCTTGCCAACAGCCATCTCAAGTTTTGGGCAGGAACAGACACGCTGGGTCATCTGCTCCTGTTGGGGTCACCGGATAGCGCTGGTGTTTGGAAGACTGGGTGCCAAGCAGCACAATGCTCCACTATAGCAGTATAGCAGTGTTTTTTTTTGTTTTGTTTTTTGTTTTTTTTTTCTCCTTCGTTTTGGGTCTCCTTTTAGCAGTAGGCATAGTGAGATGGCAAAGACTTGGCATGTTGTGGAGCAACCTCCTTTTTGCTCTCAGGTCTCCACCTCACATGTAGCTGGTCAAAAAATCATGGCTCATGCTGCTCAGCATATATAAGGTGCTGTGCACTGAAGGGAGGAAAAGCTGCTGCTTTCTGTTGCAAAATGCAAGGGATGTAGGTCAGGTAGGTCAAACCCCATGTAGGTGGGGGAGAAATGAGACCAAAGCCCCATGTGACTGCCTCATGTTCAATACATGCAGTTTGACAGGTTTGGTAGCACGGTCAGAGCTCCCAACCAGGCAGCTGGTACATATGTAAGGCCCTAGAAATATCACTTGCCTTCACTGAAAGCTGAAAATGAGGCTGTGAGATGCACTGCAAAAGCACTGAAACAACTCAAACGCAGCAGGTTATCTACACTGCGACTAGCCAAAGAGGCCAAGTTTGTTGTGTGGTCTGTTTAAAAAACACAGGCCAACTGTTGCGCGTGTTTTATCTCATTGCGATCGAGCTAAACAATGCAGCCAGGCTATTGTTCTTGCCACATGGTAAGTTACTGGCTGCACGTAAACACAGCTATTAAGCTCCAGAGGGAACTGCTTGCCATTCGAAAGACTGAGCGCCAAGCTAAAACTTGCTAAAACTGACCTAAAAGTTAAAATTTCTTCCCGGAATCTAAATATGGTAAATTGGCTGGCATTAGCCAGTAAATTAACTATGACAACCAAGGCACTACCTGCGGAACAGAGAGGTAAGTGTAAGATCCAGGACAAATTGGAAAAATTACTTTTCTTCTTCGCCACCACCAGTGACCACCTCAAGTGCCCTCAAGCTAGTTCTCTCTTGCTGAGCATCACCTCAGTGTAACAAATTCAAGGTAATTGGCACAATGGGGATGAACTCCATACGCTGGCACAGCTGACTCCAAACTCTCCTCCTTCCATTGCAAAAACACCACACTCTGTGGCTGCTGCGCAAGGACAAGTCTGAGCTGTTAACCTCTTGTGACATTCAACATTTGCACAACTCATTAGTGGAGCGCTCGGTGCACAAATAAACATCAAGTCCTTATTTTCTGATTAGCTGTATTCCTGGCACTATTAAAAGCCCCTACTCTGCAAAACCATCTCTGCCCCTCTGTCAAAGGCCCTGATACCACCAACTCCAACAGCAACACTTTGTGGAAGGATCTTTGACTATATAGGGCATAAAAGAATATAAGAGAACAAAGTATTGTTAAATCATTTTATGAGAGGTGTTCAAAGGCACCCAGGCATCTGGAACATTTGGGACTCACCCCATGACAAGTTCAAATTCAAGCTGAGCAGTCAGAAGTTGTGGAGGGCTGGACCCCAAGGGGAGTGGAACTGGGACAGACTGCAACGCAGAAGCCGGCTTCTAGGTTCGGTGAGACTGGTAGCTAGAGAAAGGTCTTGTCCTTCTTGCAGCCAGCACAGGGAGAACAGATGTGGTCTTCCATGCAAACATTCTATGACGGGATGTTTGCAATATTAGGAAAAATGACTGTGAGGCACTTGAGATTGCAAAGGAGATGGAATTGCTTCTTCCAGCCCTGTGCAAAGATGAGAGAGATGCCAAAGCTCAGCTCACCATGCTGAAATTTTCACCCAAAGGACAGAACTGCTTTTGGAAGTCTGTGCTTGTCCTTTGCACAGTTCAATCATTCCTCCTTCTGTGTACAACATTTCAGAGAAAGCTACTGCAGGATCTCAGATGTATTGCATTCAGTATGCATTGTCCAATAGGAGCAAATGGGATAGAGTGCTAGATTTGCCCTTAAACTTTAATTAAACACCACATTCCTCTACTTGCTCTAACCTCTGTACTCGCTCTCTTAATCTCAGCCTCATTAACCGTATGCTCTGCTCTTTTCTGCCTTTCCTTCACTCTTCACAGCTTTCACTAAAAAGTGAAAATAATTTTCACTAAAATGAACCTTCCCTGTTGCATGTTATTTCCCTTGTACCACAATAAAAATCACAGCACTGATCTGATTCTGCAGGTGTGCCAATTTTGCATTACTTTGATCCTTTCCTTGTTGTGGCACTGTCCACAAGACCTTCGGGACATGGGCCAGTCACCATTTGAACATTATCCAGAAGAGCTAATCTGGCACTTCTGCACATGCATTATACATGGCCTTAACACTGGTTGGATCCCAGGTTTCCTAGAAACGATCTATTCTATTTTATAATTTGCAGTTTGAGATCAACAGATTGATACTGCATCCTCTCCCAGTATCAAAACTAATGCAGTTTCCATCCAGCTCACTGACTTTAAAGGCAGCTGAGAAATTCCATGTCAGACCCCAGGCAAGGGGCAAAGCTCCTGCTGACTTCAGGGAAAACCCTAGATACAGAGCAAAAGGCCGCCAAATCTGACACTTTAAAAAGACAGTGCAAAGTGCCTACCTAATACTTGCCAGGGTAAGTCTCAAGTAAGCACTCGCATACCACGGTGCTGAGCATGGCAGTAAAACCTAGACAGATTGTTTAAACAGGCTAGGACGTGGGCATCCTGTTTCTCACGCACTATCTGCGTAACAGGCGACCGCTGCCAAACATTACAGTACAAATTTCCCACTGCGCCTAAGATGCAGTTGACAAATATCCAGAAAAAAGAATAAAAATATTTATATCTTAAAACATGCTAACTGGGTA